GTACATGGTCGAAAAGCCAATTGAATCATAGAGAGTATTGTTAAAACGTAATTATATAGCTTGTTTAGGAGCAAAAAAAAAAGAACTTTGTTATAAAATGTTGATTTTACTGTAGCAGGTACCAGGGCGGCGCACACATTGGGGTTACAAATCCAGTCCCCTCGTCTGTTTTAACAAATTGACACCTTCTTGCCCGTCGCTATTCTAATCAGCACACGCGAGCGTTATGTTCTTATTCAGGTCCAGATGACAAAAATTATTACGTGTACTCCGATCAAAATGTAGCCGGGCCCGCGACAGCCAGCTGGACGTTCTTCTCTAATAACGCGGACAACGATTATCTGCAGCCGAATGGCGAGTTTTATGTACAAAGAGAACCTGGCCAGCAGCGAAATAATCTAACCGCATTCTATCAGTCAAACGCCAATGTGATGCCAGGTTTATTGCCTGCTGCTAATGATTATTGCCAGCCTGTAAATCCGACGGATAACGATCGAGTGTTAATTAATCGCGAGTATTTTCCAAATGACGTTAAACAATGCTACATGCCTTGGAGTCAAGATTTAGATACGAATAAGCAGAATTTTGGAATCAAGGAGCCTGTGCACAATGAAACTAATCAATCAAAACTGAATGTGATGGTTGAAGATTTTAAGCCAAGTAACGAAGGATCAGATGACAAGAGATTGCAAGGCACATCATCCATTAATAGTACTTATTTCAAAGGTAATAGCAGATATCCATCGAATACAAGTAGGCAGGAGAAGAAGTACAATAATAAAAAGAATTTCAATTACAAACCCAGAGAAGAGGGGCAGAATCAGTTCTACAAAAGAAATATATATGGGCACTCATATCACCAAGACAGAGGTAACAAGTTTCAGGGTAATAAGTACTTTGCCAATAAATATCCTTCTGATAGATCGAGTATTAGAAATGGTAGTACGGATGCGCTGAGTATATATACTGTAAATGAAAGCATTCCTTGCAATAGCAAAAAAGAGTTTAGCACAAATGTAAATGAAAGAGAATCTTTAAATGTAAAGGCATCTAGAAGTAGGGAATTATTGAGTGCAGGCAAAGAAACTAATGTCGCTGATGGTAAAAATGTACCAGATAATACGGTCGCAGAATCGAGTTACTACTACTGTAAGCAACCGTACGGCAATCATAGAAATATAAAAAGATATCAAGACAATGGCCGGTACAATAGAGAAGAAAATTGTTATAAAGACAAACGACGTAATTATCAGGGATACGGTAGAGAAAATTACAACAGAGATGATAAATTCAAAGCATGCGGTAGCAATGAATTTAAGGAATGTTCGAACGAAGAAACTGGATCAGACACGAAGAGAACTAATGAGAAAAGGCATAATCATCAAGGATACTACAATGAATTTAGAGAACACAAAAAGGATGGCAGAATAGACGTTGGTAAAGAGAAAGGGAATGAACAAGTTAGAAGTAAAAAAGAAATGGGAGAAAAGAATTATGTTCAAAAACGGAGAGAGAATAAAAAGTCGCCAATCGGTATATAATTTTAAAACATTATGAATAGTAACTCCCATTCATATTTGGGCACAATTCAAAATAGAATACGTTCTTTAATAATGGATCAAACAATTTCACTTCCTTTGGAATGTTGAGAGGTCTGGTTTATTACATAACATGTAACAAACAATTGTTATTCGCCGAAGTCTCGAAGAAAAACTAAAAGACATTTTAATAAAAAAGTTAGAAATCATGTTCTTTACTTTTTTTAGTCTTTTTTACTCGATACGTCGACGACTAGTAATAGTTTTTAATGTCTAATTACACATTATGCAGTAAACTAAACTTTATAACATCTCATAAAAAAATAAGTTGTTTCGTCCAATATTAAAAAATTATTCCATTTTGAAATGTGTCCAAATATTAATAGAAGTCGCCTTATATTATAATCTTCATGCACTAATAAATTTTTTTGTATAGATGATGATTCAAGTCAGAGGGAAAGATTAACAGATCAACTAAACAAGGGCCATTTAGAATGCCTAGTATGTTGCGAATATATTAAGCAGAGCGATTACGTTTGGTCATGTTCCAACTGTTACCACGTTCTACACTTAAAGTGTACTAAAAAGTGGGCGAAATCGTCGCAAGCAGGTAATTACCACGGCTTACTCTTACGTTTTCACTATACTGCGGACACACGTACACACTATACACACGTACAC